CAAAAAAAAATTAAGGGATCATCCTGAGAAGGGGAAAAAACCCTATGGGTGGTAGAGGGGATGAGAGACTTTTGGATCACCCTGTAAGCTCTGTGAAGAGCTGAGGTTGAACAAGTAAGCATGGTTGCACTTGATATTAGGATTCTCCTATATTAGGATTCTCCTAGCAGAGCTAGTGGCGAGGCGTGAATGATCGATTATCGATATCTCCCTATTTGAAGCTGTGGTGAAGAATCGATTATTGATGTGTTCATTGCGGACACCCTGTTTATCGATCCTTTTCCATAGTTTTAAGTGGCAAATCAATCGATGAATCGCAGAGCAAGTCACGCCACTAAGCAGAACGAAGAGACAATGTAGACAGAGATGGAAGATGAAATGTCGCGGAGTGAAGTTTCTTTTTACTGAATCAAGTTGCGAATAATTTTATGGAATTTTTAGGGACTGAAAATGAAATCCGCAAAAAACTGATAATTCAGCGAGGAATTTCGGAGGTGGACTCATTTTTGTTAAACTGTCAAAATCGAGTTGAGACTATTACGAGGCGTTTTGCGGCCTACTAGTCTCTTGAAAAAGTTCTTAAAAATTGTAAAAAGTTGTATGAAAGTTTGCACCTCCGAGCGGTGTGGTGGATTTTTTTATAATACTTATTCAATATACTGTGCTCTCATAAAGCCTTAAATTTTGAGAGTTTTCATGAACCTCGTGTGTTAATTTTCGGCGAAACCAGAGCGTTTTAGTTCTTGCAAATTTCCTTTATAAGAACGAAAAATAAAAGATGGAAAAATTATACACCAATAAACTTCGATAGATGATCCATTTGCTTTTAATTTCTGAATAAAACTCAATTTTTACACAGACTTCGAGAGGCTGTACACGGGAGGAATGTTGGATGAGCGCAACGAAGAAAAATTTGAACAAATTCAAAGGCTCCGTCGTCTCCAAGGGTCAAAAAGATTGGGAGCAGAACACGGACCAGTTGGAGAGCTCGATTATTCAGATGTCATACTTCGTCTATACAGGCATGTCAGCACGAACATATTTTATCCTTAAGTCGCATGTGACCGTTCACAGGAAAATTGACCTTAAACCACAAAAACTCAAAATTTATTTATTAATCTTGGAGCGTAAACGAGTGTAATATGCACGTTTCGAGATGAAAAACGGTCAGAGATGTCAAAAAAACATTGAAAAAAGTAATTTCAATTAAGAAGTATCTATTTTTGCCATTCCAATCTGTCGTAGTGAACGTACAAAATCAACCGAATAGGCCGGCTTCCTTCAGGTACTTCGCTAGGCCCAATTCACACTATCAAACTTTTCATCCGACATAATTGAACGAAATGTTGGATGGAAAGTTGAGCGCAAAAAAATTTGATTCAATTACTCTCCGTTCAACTTCCCATCGTGGACAGTTTACCGAAAAGCTGAATGTGACGTCACATCCAAGTTTCCGTTCAATTTTTCATCAAAGTGTCGTTTTCTCTTGTCAATATCACACTATCTAACTTTTCATTCGACATTTTGTATTCAAGAATTGAATGGAAAGTTTGATAGTGTGAATTGGGCTTTATTGATGCGTTTTTTCATGAACCCGGTCTGTTGGGGCTGCAAGTCAATGACTCTGAAGATTTCAGAGACTTAGGACTTTCTAGAGGCTTCGGATCCTGCCTCACCGGGTTCTTGACTGAATTTAGGTTGATGTAGATTTCTAAATGGGCTTTTTTCAACCATTCCGCAAAAAAATTTATGATAGGATGCGCGCTCGAAGATGGTTTTCTAAGGTGTCCAAAGAAACGACTTCGCCGCGTTCGTCACTTTGAGGTCAGTAAGAGTAAAAGGGCCATTGCCAAAATTTCGGGAGGAAAAAAATAGAACATTGTATAATTTTCTTAAACATATTTGAAGGGCTTAATAACTGTGCTATAGTTTTGCCAGTAGAACTGGGAAATCGAACGAGTGTATTTCGACATGTGATGTAACAGAATTCCCGTTGCTCTTTATTCGCTCAAAAGACGAATGGTCTTCGTCTTATTTCAAATTTCCGTGCGATTTATCGGGATTATTCTTTGAACATTTCGCATTTAAAAAAAAGTATTTTCCAAAAGTACAGATGTTTGGGTGGGGGGGGGTCTAAAAAAGGTATGAGTTGTTACAGAAAGTTTAAGGAAACCCTACAAATCATGATCAGACACCGCGCGCAGCAAAGTTGTAATAAATTTAAACAATCAATAAAAATGTTTTTTCGAAACATTAAAAATGGGGCGATAAAAATATGTGATAGATTATTTCATCGGCACATTAGACAACACTGGAATTAAATGAAGGTGTAAGATAAATAAGCAATAAAGCGCCTCCAGAGCTCAGTGTGGCATGCAACGAGCACTGAATGATTTTTATACGGCGTAAAGCAACTATTCGAACTCCACGGATGTCCGTATTGCGTACGCACATAAGTGAAGGCGTTTTGACCCGCCAAGCACCGGCCGGAGGCACTGGCGCGGTGCAGCGGTGACAATGTAGTACTGCGAGGGTCAGGGCCCCTCCACTTTTTTTTATTTTTCCTATACAAATGCATTTTTTAGGCACCGACAGTTGCTCTATAAATCATGCATTCATGCACTCAGCACATCGTGATATTAAAACTATGACACAATAACTCTCACAACCTTATAGCCTGAGTACAACTTTTCGTACCCAAGAGATGTATTTATACTATAAAAGGAAGAATTGAAGGTGTTCCGTTATCTTGGATCCTCGCAACACAGCCCGCCGATGCCACTGCGCCGCTGGTGAAGCGGTGAGTGCCTCGAGCGTCAAAACGCCTTCACCTGCGTGCGTATGCAACACGGACATCCGTGGAGTTCGAATAGTTGCATCCAAGCGTTGTAATGAAATTGGTTTAGTGTTCGCTGCATGCGACACTAACTGAGGGCGCTTTGCTGGTTTCTTTAATACTTTAACTTAATTCCATCGATGCATATAATGCCGATAATGTAAACCATATTACTCATTTTGATTGCGACATGAGGAATTAGTTGCTTTTGCTTTTTTGAACCGTTTGCACGATTTGCTTTTTCGAATCAGGCTTTAAAAATTGAAAAAAATCTCTTCTCTAGATTGACCCATGGCCTTTTCGTATTTTGAGCAGGCAGAAAGACAAGGACAAATACTACAAGCTGAAAATCGACGATGCGACCAACTTTAAGAATGCGCCCCTGAACAAATCGCTTGAAACAAAGATCATCATACACGGATGGATGAATAGTGGAGAGAGTTGGTTCCCAATTCTGATGAAAGATAGTAAGTACCTTCAAGTGAATAGATTTATTTTATTGTAAGTACATTTAAAGTTACAATGTAGATATGCTGAGGGGATGATTTTTTTCAGGTTCGCCAGTTGCGCTCGTCACAGAATCGTGTTATGATGCTTGATTCTTGAAATCAGCTAAAAATAAAAAGATCCGTCCAAACAACAACTTTTCTACGTTCAATATTATAAACGAGAATACCGCGCTTTGAAAAATTCGGTTGACATCATCTACCACCGTATTAAAATCCTTGGTCTCTGCTTTCATCCGAGTAACTAGTGCTAGAGTCCCTTTATACCCAGAGTTAAGACAACTCGATTATCAGCTGACTGGCAGCCGGCCTTGGCTGGCCATGGAGGCCGAAACGAGTGCACCCAAACGAACGATATTGAGGAATAAGGATCAGGAATCCTGCGATGTCTGTCACACAAAAACAACAACATCAACAAATTTATCAGTTAAAAAGAAAATGAGATTGGTTTGTGAATAATTTCTTAATCTATTTTCGTTTTGGACCGATGGAAATAACAATTTACTCTTGAAAAACCACAATTAGGTAATATTTTCATTATTCATTGTTCACATTCGAGGTACCGCCATCTTGGTGCACTCGTTTCGGCCTCCATGAGCGAGAACCAATCAGAATTGGATTTTTTTTTTTAGGCCACCTTCAGCCCAACCCTGGCCCAACCAAAAGTGAGTTGTCTTAACTCTGGGTATAAAGGGACTCTAACTAGTGCAAATGTGTGTCTCCCTGATAAATAAAAGCGAGGTGGAAGAAACCAAGGGTGTCACTACCGCGGTAGATGACATCAGAAACCAAACTTTTCAAAGTGCGATATCCCGGTTAATATTCAACGAAAAAAATTGTTGTTTGGAGTGATCTTATTATTTTTGGCTGATCTACAAAAATCGAGCGTCAAAACACGATTCTGTGATCAGCGAAACTGACCCATTCCAATATTAGCTTATGAGTGATGGTATTGGGGCGGGGAGTAATTGCTTCCCACCCCTGAGCAGCAAAAGTTGCGAATCAACGTTACATAAAAGCAGAACTTCAGAGATTGAATAAATTGAGCGAAACTAGAGAAACTTTTGTAGAGGACAATATTGCAAAAAAGAGATGAAATTTCGCGACTCACTTGCGCTGTTTAACAATTTTATGGGACGCGTTTCGAGGTCGAGATGGCCCCATCATTAGCCGGCAGCGAACAATACTTGTTAAATGGACCGCGTTTAACAGAAAGGAACCAAGCCATACATCAGCTATTGCCAATTTTAACTGGGCAATTTCATTTTTTACCAGAAAACGTTTGTGCGGATCCCTTTGAAAATGTTAAATAATTTGCTTTCATACTATGGAGAAAATTCACTGAAATTTGCACAAAAAGCCGCAGAACTGTTTCTATGTAAAAAATTAAATTAGCCAATTAAATTTGACAATGGCTGATGTGACTTGGTTCCTTTCTGTTTAACGCGGTCCAAATAGCGCAAGTGAGTACGCGAAATTTTATCTCTTTTTTGCGCGAAACTAGTTCCAAACCTCGATTTTAAATTAGCTTAGAATCATAGTGTTCCGTAACTTGCACCGACTATCTTTCTGCGTGAATTACCTGACCGCTCGATGTCTCCTTTGCAGCTTTGCTGAACGACCGTGATCTGAACGTGATACTTGTGGACTGGAGCAGTGTGAGCTACGGGTTCGTTTACCCCTGGACGGCGAGCTATGTTCCCGAAGTTGGTAAATTGGTGGGCGAAGTCGTTTTTGCGCTCATCAACGACAACTACATCAACGTAACTTCGGTCCACTTCGTCGGCCATAGTTTAGGTGCTCACGTTGCTGGATTCGCGGGGAAAAGAATCAACAAACTCCTCAATAAAACCGTGCCGTGGATTACAGGTTTGAGATTAATTTTCCATTAAATGCACACGTACATGGATAAAAATAAGTTCAGGCTGCAGCCTTATTTTTGGGTCCATCCACAAGTAATTGGTTGAATTGGTCATTTTATAATTCATTCGGGTTAGACCTAAAATCGAATGGTGGCTTTACCCAGGGCCGGATTTAGGGGGTGGCCACATGGGCCGCAGCCCATGGCGGCAAATTAAGGGGCCGGCAAATTTTGCGATTTTTTTTTTAAAGTGGGTATACAAAAATTACAATCGAGAAAAGGCGATTAAATCTCTCATTTTCTAAGAGCATAATAATTTCTAATTCTGTAGTCTTTCGATGATACAAGAGACAGTACATTTTATCAGTCAAGTTAAGAGAGAAACCGAACACGCAATTTGGCCTGGAACGACGCGGCGCGGAGCAGAGAGCAATGATGACGAGGACTTGAGATGAAAAGGAGAAGCCCTCGGCGCGCCGGTCGGCATGTAACACATATTAGCGCCTACAAGACTGCATGAATACTTCACGCATTTCGCCAAACACAGGGCAGTCAGCGCGGAGCGGCGCGGCGGTGGAAGTTAAAATTATTAAACCACGTTTATGTTTGTTCTTTCATAATTTTTTCGTTCATTTCTTACAAATGGAAGGCCTTGTCCACACAGAGATAGGTTTACGGAACTTAACTTTCCTGCAAAGTTCCGTGAACTTTTGTTGGTAGTGTTGACAGGGTTTTCGCAAAACATGTGTCCAACACGAGTATACGCGACGTCTTATGTACCCCTTTCCGTCTGGCACGTTCACTTGATGGTTTTTATTGATGCCCAACGGTTTCCTAATACAACTTCAGGTTCAATGACATTTCGACACCGATTTTTTGTCCGCACACCTGGTTCTTCTAGTAGTTTATGTCCACGCGTTTTTTTTCGGCAGGAGAGTTCGTGCCGTAGTGCCTTGATTTATTTTGCGAGGAAAGCTCCGCACTCTTGACGGATGCCTATCATTCTTAAAATGTTGGAGCACCTTCAATTTCGTTTGATACTGTGCAACACCTCTGTTGTGAAATAGTTGCTTGAAGCGCCGTGGCACGCTGCGGCGTGGCGGGCGGCTGGCCAACTCCCAACGCGCATTGACGCCTACAAACCTAAGGGGATACTTCAAGCATTGCGCGATACGTGAAGTGTTCTGTTAGGTTTGAAGGCGTTAGTGCGCGTTTCGTACCGGTAGCACGCCGCTCATCTCTGTGTTCGGCTCTAATATTTAAAATCGCAGAGTCGGCGTCTTTCAGCTCATGATTTTGAAATTTTTGCACATTCTGCATGGATTTTCCTCTTTTAAATTGATGGAAAAAAATTTATTAAAGGAAAATATAAAATAGGTTTTGTAAATATTAAGGTGGTTCCGTGTCAAATTTAATGATCCCCAAAGCACTTTAATTATTTCTTTTATCTTTTGGTTTTTTCCCCTTTTACATTCATTTTTGTATAGTTTCTTTCAACTCAACTCTTATTTTACGCGTGGACGTAAACTACTGGACAAAACAGGCACGCGGACAAAAAATCGTTGACGGAATGTCCTGAAACCCAAATTCAAGTCTTTTGGTTCGCAAATTTAGCCTCCGAATACATTATGTTGAACTTATTGCCTGACGATTACGACGTTAGACCTGCGGCTTTATTTTTTAAATTCAAGTCTCTATTGAGGGTAAATATTGTAAAATATAAAAACAATGAGTCATACTTATCAATTTCTTCTGAGGAGCAGTGATTTCATTACCTAGGTACGTGCAAAAAACACCACTGCTCTCACGATGGTCTAGAAGAAAGGCAAAACTGGACTGCTTTTATAAGAGTCTAGGAAATTGATTTCTTTTGTGAATCTATTTTTTGCTTTTCTCGTGAGGTAAATTTTTTCTAGGGTTGAATAATTGAAGGAAATTTTAATTTTAGGGTTGGATCCTGCTCGACCATGTTTCAACGGGAAACCGGCCAAGGATCGGTTGGATGTGACGGATGCAGAGTATGTGGAAATAGTTCATACTTGTGCAGATTACCTTGGACTCCTCCAGCCAATTGGCCACATAGACTTTTACCCTAACGGGGGTTCTCTTGTACAACCTGGATGTAGCTACTACGATGTCGGTGAGTATTGCGTGATTACTCTTGCAAGAGGAATTGAATCAGTGAGTTCGAAAACACATCAACTCGGGTTTTTTTCGATTTTCACTTTTTTACGGTTTAGTAACACTTATGGATAGAAGCATCTGCACGCAAAAGAAAAATTTCGAAATTGCAATCGGAAGTGCTCAGAACAGCGACGGGAAAAGGGAAAAATCGAAGTATTTCATTGGAAATACCAATTTTTGGCCATTTCAAGGGAAACGGGTGACCATCCGATTTTGCTGTTTTCTTTTTTCGGTTCAGTATACCTTGTGCCAACAAGTTATATAAATATTCAAGCGTTATTCAGGTCGAAAAATATAAATTTTTCAGGGCAGACTATGAAAAATCAGTATCTGAAAGTCGGTGAGAACGAAAACACACCAACTCGGAAATTTTTACACGCTTAATTGGATTACATTTTGCAAAAAGGAACCACTATCTCTGGCTCTCCCATAAAAGCACATATCTGCATAGGGAAACCAATGGCATGTATGTTGTTTCTAAAATGGGCTAGATTTAGTGGTTCCTTATTGCAAAATATGATCCAATTCTCTGTCATCAAACATGGTGTATCGATTTCAACTTGACTTACAAAGTCTCTAAGTACTTGTCCTTAGGCACCAAAAAGGTTTCTCTTAAACTAACTTCTTCGCCCGCTGCGCAGTTTTAGGTGTTTCCTGAACAATTTTTTTTCCGAGTTGGTGTGTTTTTGAACTCACTGATTCAATGAGGGGCTTGGAGGACAAGGCACATAAGTGCAGTTTTTGAAAAAATTGAGATTTTCATACTCTCAACTAAAACTAGTTTGAAAATATATCCTGTGAAAAATTCAAAACTAAAATCTAGCTTTAAAGCATCAAAAAGTGAGTTTATACTTCCTTTCTGCCATAAGGCTCCATGTAATTTTGAAACTTTAAACACGCACGTCTTGAAAAAGTAAAAAATGAACTTCCCAAGTACTACAGTGCAACGAAAAAATTTAAATTAAATTGCAATTTGATTTCAATACAATTGTGATTTTTTTTACCATTAAAATGCAATATTTTTACATCATTCAGTCGATTTATGCCGATTTTAAACAATCAACAAAATGGGCTCCACGTGTTAGAAAGATATAAGCAATATGCAAATATGCAATGAAAGATTGCAACTTATTTTGCAATAAGTTTCAATAAATGGAGACCCCTTCAAATAGGAGCTAGGCAACATACACAACACTCAGTTGAATCGCGATATTTTTACTACGTAATTGCTATTTATTGTAATCTGTGCTACTTGGGTTATGCGCTTTGTCTTCCAAGCCTCTCAATTAGATCATTAGTGTAATGGAATCATCATGGAGTCACTGAGAGTGGATCTTATTATATCCCCCATAAAAAAAGTCTTCAATCACGATAGCGTGTGTGTAGGTAAACAATTTAGTATCCCTTCTTTGAGCTAGTTATGCGAGAACGGAGATCCGAAAATCGCTCATTACTCTTGCGACTTGGATGAGTGATTTTACATGCCAAATCCAAATTTTCGGCCAAAGAGTACTTTGGTTCAGTCTTTAAAGCTATGGGAAACTTCTGGGAAAGAACTTTTCGTAATCGTTTAGAGAGAGCCGTAGAAACAAAAAAGAAGTTTCGTACTGTTTAGGTTTTATTTCCCGTTACGTACGGAATGTTAATTATATCGTTTCATGACGACATTTGACATCCAGGTGCTTGCAGCCACGCCAGGTCTTTCCAGTACTACGCTGAAGCATTGACTACTAATCGCAGTTTCATAGGGTATCCTTGCGCTAATATAGTAGATTTTACTCTTGGATTATGTGACGATGATGATGCTGCGAAGAAAATGGGTAAAAAATACTCTGCGGACAGGTTAGTTTAACTCTTTATTCCTCCCCTCGTTTTATTTAAAATAACTCACAGACATACCCAAGTATCATTTTGCAACGGAAAAACCGGGATATTTTGAAATTAAATTTCGACTTGTTTTTACAATCTTTTGCCAATAGCGATTATCCTCAATCTTGTTGCAATTGTATCTCCATAAAATTGGTTTCGATAAAATCGATATTTTATTTCAATTTATCACAATTTTTTTTTTTCGATAAAAGTGCGATAAATCAACGTCGATAAAATCGCAGAGCACTCTCCGATCAAATTGCATCTTATCGCGATCATTGCTACTTGAGTAGGCGAAATAAGTAAATATTCTTATTCGCGTGGATTTCTATGATACCGATCTACATTTTTTCGCTGTGACGCCACACTATGGTTGTCTTTGCAAAGCAAAATTCGGAGCGAAAAATAAACTGACAGCTAAGATTATAAAATGATCAAATTATAAAACACGTATGAAAATACTACATTGAATTGCGGCGTCCCTGAGATAAACCGAAAAAATTGGTTCTTTGGATGGAAAACACCAGTGAGGAGTCGCTCCGGTAGGCATAAAACGGAAGTATAGAAACTGCATCCAGTGAGTCCTTTCACACGAACATCCGACAGCTTGTCTGTCAAATCAATCCTTGCGAATATTAATGATACGTTGAACGTGTGTTTTCAGCTATGGCAAAATGTTCTTATTAACGAGAAGCTCAGCTCCATTCCACGTGGAACCTGACGATCATGAGTAAGAACTGAGAAACACCAGACCCAGCCAAGGGATACCAAACATCCTCTGTGGAAGATACAAAAAAAACAGACGTCCTCTTTCTCCAGGGATTTTAACGATGAGGATGGCAATATGGTATCTGCGACATCAAATACTGGCGTGCTCACCGTTTACCCAGTTCTGTACTTTTCATCTGTGTGTACCAAGGTGCCCATATAAATCAGGAGATGAGGATAAAACAATTTTGTGCGGCTTTAGTATATGACTATTCTTGTACAAAAAAATAATTGCAATTCAGCAACGAAAAAAATATCATCCTTTTTCTTTTCCCTTTTTCTACTTAAGTTTTTGCAGAAAAATAATCCATCAACGACTCGCTGGTTGTAATATTTTTTTATTGGGGAAAAAACATTGAGTTTAGGTGAAAACAAATGATTTCAAGAGAATCATTTCAATTGAAATGATAGCATTTGGTGTCGTAGAATTGTTCGATCTTTTTGCCTCATGTCGCACAAAAATGTGAAAATATGAAATTATGGTTTTTTTGTACGACAGTTGTAGGTACGGCTGAAATTGAATTATGGCCATGTTGAATGCCATTTCTTTTATTGTATTCCTTGCACACGACGAGTATCGATGATGGAACTAGAAAAATAAGGATGCTGTTCTGCGATGTGCAATTTCCTGGGGAAAATCAACCAGGAATATTTTAAATTCGTGAAAGCGTGATTTTTCTTCAACTATATCTATAAAATTCCCCAAAGTTGTTACGCAGAAGTATTGCCCAATTTTTCTTTAGAACAAAATAACGCTGGATATCAGAAAATTTGAAAAACAGCAACCGAGATATCCGCATGCTTTATGGTTTTCCCGTTGACGAAGGAGAGGATTTTTTCTTCTTGCACTTCGGCATAAAGTAACACACCTGTTGTAGGTAAATGATACTATATAGAAAAAGATCAGCTTCGTTCATTCATGCAAGTAGAGAAAAAGATTCGAGTGATTTATAAATGAGAGACGTTCAGGAATTCATAAAGGTAATTCACGTGTGATACTATCGGATTCTGATCTATGTTTACTTTAAAGCTCTAATTGAAAAACAAATATAATCTATTTTGTAAATAGAGATCAGTAAAAAGAGTTACTCAATAAAGAGCTGCAAAGCTACCTATTGAGAAAGTGTCCGTCATGAGTGTAGAGTTACCTACTAATATTATTTTTTCACCTTTAGGGAGGAGCCTGAAAGTATTTACGACTAATTGTTTCCAAACACTAAATACTATCTGTTGCTTCCGAGGAAAATAATTTGAATCATTTATGTTGGGGCACGCATTTTAAACACGCAAGAGTGAAGCTTTACACAAACTGAATCAAATCAACAATAGATATCTTCCGATAAATTAAATTACGCATCTGCTTGTGTTTCATTTTAATTTCTGGGAAAGGGGTTTGTTTTTGTACTCTTTAGAAAACAACCGAGTTGACATTGAATTACAGAATCTCAGGCAACAATCGTTGCGCATCTAGGTATTTATTCGTATGGACGGTGACACTGAAACGCGTATATTGGTTTACGACGACATCGTAAACTTCCTATCGTATTACAAAGTAATGTGAGAATTCTAACCATTTTAAATTCGTTAAATTCTTGATAAACTTTACGTATTAATCAATTTACTCTGAAAATTTTGTGTTAAAATATTTGTTGCTTCATGTACTTTCAAAAAAAAAAAAAAAAAAAAAAAAAAAAAAAAAAAAAAAAAAAAAAACTTACTCCAGAGTGGAAACTTTTAAACAGCGCTCGAGACATGTGTTCTTTCAATTTCTCCACGGCTATGAATTTACACTATCAAGTGAAGAGAGAATGCCGTATTGCTGCAAAAAAATAGTTTCCCGCAACCTCCCATACAATGCTCCAGTGATCGCATAAGTTGGCCCGAGCACAAACTTTTCGGGAAGAAAGGCTTTCCCCTTCCTGGTTTTTCACTTAATACCCGCCCGAGATTCGCATATCTTCCGTTTCTCCTCATCGCAGCTTCCATCAAAGCGCAATTGCCCGGAAACTAGGACCGCACATCTTATCTGATAAAATCGTTTGCCCTTTAGACCGATTCTGGGGGATTAGGCTAGATTAGTCGATGAGTCAAAGTGTTGGTCTAATTTCATTACGTGAATGCAGAAGAAAAACGGCGTAAAAAAACACTAATGTGTGATCAATTTTCAAGGAGAATTCTGTAATTTCTCCTACGATTTTAAATAGATTAAAACGTGTAATCTCCAAAATCTAAGTTCAGATTCGGATTCCTCGCGAAAAATCGATGTAGTTTCATGTATCATATGTTAGAATAGCGTGAAGGAAAGAGGTTTAACGACTTGAAAAAACACTTCTTATTGCGTGAGCAATTTTCAAGGACAATTCTGTAATTTCTCTTGCGATTTTAAATAGATTAAAAGGCGTAATATTCTAAATCTAAGCTCAGATTAAGATTTCTCGTAAAAAACTGATGCGATTTTATGCATCATATGTTAGAATAGCGTGAAGGAAAGAGGTTTAATGACTTGAAAAAACACTAATGCGTGAGCAATTTTCAAGGACAATTCTGTAATTTCAACTACGATTTTAAATAGATTAAAACGCATAATATCCAAATTCTAAGCTCAGATTCGGATTCCTCGTGAAAAATTGATGAGATCCCATGTATCATATGTTAGAATAGCGCGAAGGAAAAAGGTTTAACGACGCGTATAGATTCTGTCGTACTACCCGTTTGAACTACGCCGCCGCGCCGCGTGGGTCGCCTGAGTGAAACCGAACGGAGAGGCGCCACTTAAGCGCCGGCTAATTCGGTTTCGTCGCGAGGAATTTCTCACGATAAATTCTTATTCTTCCTCCTCCGCTGACCCACTGAGCACTACCCGTGTTGCCACGTTGCGTTCATGCTCGAATCAGTATGTCCACGTTACGTCTCTTTCCTTCACGCTGTGCTCGGGTATGATACATGAAATTGCATCGATTTTTAACGAGGAATCCGAATCTGACCTTCGATTTTTGGTATCACGCGTTTTAAATCAAATTTTTTAAATTCAAAAATTAGAAATGACGGACGTGGCCCAAAATGCTATCTCGGCTCCTGTTCGATGGATTTGTCTGAAATTCGGTGTCAGGGCATGATACATGAAATCGCATCGATTTTTTACGAGAAATCCGAATCTGAGCTTCGATTTTGGGTATCACGCGTTTTAAATAAAAATCTGTCAAAATTCAAAAAAATCAAAATTCGAAAATCGTAAATGACTGAAGTGGCTTAAAATGCTATCTCGGCTCCTGTTCGATGGATTTTTCTGAAATTCGGTGTCAGGGTATGGTACATGAAATCGCATCGATTTTTAACGAGAAATCCGAATCTGAGCTTCGATTTTGGCTATCACGCGTTTTAAGTCACATTTACTAACTTCAAAAATCCGAAATGACTGACGTGGCTTAAAATGCCATCTCGGCTCAAGCCCGCCACATTCCATCTCGGGCCCTGGTACTAGTTTTCAGGCCCGGGCCCCCAGTTTAGAGGGGGGTCCGGGGGGCCTCCCCCGGAACATTTTTGAAATTTTAAATCTACTTGGACGCATTTTGAAGCTCTCATGACAGAGATTTACCATCAATTTCTGCAGAATAATTACGCTTTTTTTTTACTTCCAGCACCAAATACTTTCGAATTGTTGCATTCAAAACATCTGGGAATTTTTTTTTGGGGGGGGGGGCAGATGATACTTTTCAATTCTAGGGGGGCCGGACCCCCCTGGACTCTTCTTTTGTACGTCTATGGCAAGGGAGTTGAGCCATCAAAGTCGAGGATGCCCCAGACTGGGGCCTCTTAGCATCCGACAATGGAAGAAAATGAAACGCAGTTACTAAATATATTATTCTACATATACTCAAAATCTTGAAAATCGAAAGAAATCTCTAAAAAAGTAAGAAGAATTTAATAAGGCCCCAGTGTGTTTTTGAAACTTTATTCACTTTTTGCGGAATTTTTGGGGTAAATTTTTCACTTTTCCTTACGAGACGAGGGTTACATGTGAAGTCGTACTGGTTTATGGCACCAGCGTCACGGGCCCCGGTCCCCCGGTACCAAGGACCCAGTATCCCCCCCCCTTGTGGCGGGCCTGGCCGTAAGGACCAAATTCCCTTTTATAAAACGCAAATTCTCCGGGAAACTTGAGAATATTTGTCTCCCAATTTTTCGGGGGAATTTATTCACAATGTAATCTAAATTATCTGAAAATGTCAAATATACTTAACTATCCATATCTTTCTTTGAAAAAATAATTTATTGAGAGATTTGGCAATATTGAAATGTTTATCTTTTTTTTAGAATGTTTTCGGCGTTTTCTTTTAGAATGGTGGCACGTCTGTTTACACTTTTTTCGCGCATCTCTTAACAGTTAGCCTGTTAAAAAATAAGTCCAGCACCGTGAAATATTGTGCAACTTTTCCAAGAAATGCCGAGCTGAAGTGTTTTCTGTTATGCACCGTTTAATGCGTCTCACAAAAGCATGGTACCTTCACAATAAACGTGTTATGGGAATCTCTTTTCCAATATTCCTTCAACAAAGTTACATTGTCGGTCATGACATTCGTAGAACAGGTTGCATACAGTTTCCAATAAAGATTTTTTGGTGTTTAAAATATTTAATTTGAGGGAAAAACATACTGCCATGTACAATATACATAATGCGTTAAAATTACATAGATATACAAAAATAAACAATTTTATTTTATACACAACGATGAAGTCAGAGATGACAAATGCTTCGGTTTTAACTTACCCACTAAAAGAATTATTCACATACTATTTACAAATTCAACACATTGAAAAATTAACAACATTTTAAAAAAATATAAGAGTTTAATAAATACAGTACTTCTAGAAAATAATGGAGCCAATTAATTTTTAAACAGACTTACGGATGCAAAAAAATTGGGAAAGTTTGGAGGACGTAGGAATTTTGTACATGTATAGGTGAGTGACGTCAAATTCGATAAAATTTACCCAGCATGTCTCAAGTAGATGCTTAGAATACATGTTATTTAAGGAACGGCCGACTTTACATCAAAGTTAAACAATAAACGTCAGTTCCATTTTGAGGATTTGGGAATTTTAAAGGCTAGATAAAATTCACTTTCATCTCATTCGATTGTTGTAATGACTTCGTGAAGTGGCACACATAATGGAGTGTGTCACCTCGAAACCGATAAGTTCGTGCAAATTGAGCCGCGCATTAAAATTAACTAAATAAAAGAGGAAGCGGAGTGAGGTAAAGATAAGGAGGAAGAAAATAGAATGATAACTTCTTTACAGAGACAAACATACTGGAGAAGAGAGAGAAATGAAAATGGGCTCGTCCTAACCGCGGGCAACAAAGCAAGGAAGCAGGAAGCAACTATTCTAACTCTGCGGTAGCCCAAATTGCATACCTGTCAGAATTGAAGGAGCGCTCAATGTCATGCCTCGCATGTCTATGTTCATGCCGATTTATTGCGGCTGTGTTCTTCTATTTGAGACAAAATTTTAAATTCATAACGTGACAAACCAAAGGAGGACGATTTGTTGCGGCTCTGTCCTTTTGTTTGAAACAAAACGATGAATTCATAACGTGACAAACCAAAGGAGGAAAAAGGGAGGAAGGGGATGTATAAGAGAGAAAAGTAAATGACTCAAAGAGGCTACGGAGAGTAAAGAGAGTACATGAAGAAATGAGATTGAACAGAAGAATGGAATATTTTTTGATTACCTACTTGCAATTAACTACGAATTCAATTTCTTCAGCTTGAAGTGAATACATCTAATAATGATTTTGAATTACCTTGATGCATGTTTTTTTAACAATCACTATAAACAAAGACTACATTTTAAGAGTTTTTTGAGCGTGGAATACGTCATTTTCAGGTTTTTGCTTCCTCAAATTGTTTTACCTTGATATGTAAAAATAATCTCTCGCGATCTCTACTATTATATTGACTTGAAACTAACAAAAAAATAACGTTAGATATGTTTCATAGTAACCAACAACATTCCTTGGAATTTTCAATCAATATTTGTCGTTATGAAAGGAACTTTTCCCATTCCAAAAACCGACGTTCAGAATTCTTTTATTTTAAAAATAAATGAAAAGGATATGATAAAATAAAAATGAGAAGTCTCAAACGTATGCCGGTATGCTGGAGTTTGAACCTCCTTTTAATGGAATCCGCTTTACTGTGATAATATAAAAAATATCAAATAAATATGATATTGAATGCTTCCTACGATTTTCATAAAACAAGTGATAAACGGGCGGAAGGAAATTGGTTAACAAAACCTCATTATAATGACGTACAGTAGCTTAGGAATTAGTGATGAAGTATAGTTCATCATTTCCCAGACGAAAGAACGTAACTAAGTGTCTGCATTTCAAAAGTTCCGCTGGTGCATCGTAATTTTTCTTGACAGCTCTTCAGTATCTCGAATTGAAAATTGCACTGATTTTTCTTCTAATAACACACAAATATCAGCCGAATTTTGCACAGGAATCATATATTTAAAAAAAGTGAATTGTTCGAGATTATTTGCAGCCTTGGAAAGGAGTTACATTCGTTCGTCCGCAACATAGAGTACATAGAGTCGTGATGTAAATGGGAGAACTGGCGCCATGTTCTGGTTGGCGAATTCCTAGCCCAGTGTGCGCCGCGCTTGGATCACTTTTTCGATACTTGTTTGATCTAAAATGGTGGTGTCGAATACGTGGTAACTCCTATCTTCTTAGTTTACATCGGATGACCGAGTACCCGTGTATCGGAAACAATCGATCATACATCGAAAAAGTGCGACCCGGCGTCACACAGGAGTCTCAAAATTCGGAACCTGAAAAATGCTTAAAAAGTGGCACCAGCTCTCCCAATTACATTACGACTCCATGTGCTCTATGGTCCGCAAGACGACGGATTGCGTAGTTCAAAAATCATCGCACAACAAAAGAACTAAAGAAAGTTTGTGTTTTTCACGAAAACCTTCCCACCTTGAGGGTCGAGTGATTTTCCAACAGCTCGATAACCGCATTCAGGCTCAAATTCTTGGTCTCGGGAACGCAAAAATGAATAAACAAAGAGAGACACAAAGCGCTGACGGAGAAGAGTGAAAACGTGCCGAAATAACCGAGCAAAGACAGCATGCTAGGGTACAACTTCACGGTCGCGAAGGAGCCGAAAATCCCCCACGCAATGATGAGTGATGTTGCCATATTTCTCACCGACGAGGGAAATATCTCAGAGCTGAGGACGAAGGGAACCGGCCCAACCCCGAGGGCGTAGCACACTATCGCGGTAGAGAAAGACACGAGCGGTAGATACGTCGATTGAACAAAGGCATTCGATTTATCGAACAGGAAGCACACCGCCAGCAATAAAAGAGAGGCTGACATCCCGGTCGAGGTGAAAATGAGGAGGTACTTCCGTCCCAACCTGTTGATGAGATAACACGAAGGGATGGACGCGATGAGCATCGCGACCCCTACTATGACAGAACACAAATTCGGTGAGATCGCGGAGCCGGCCGCTGAAAAAATAGCTACGGTGTAAGTGAGTAGAATATTGATACCGACAACTTGTTGGCCGGTTATGAGGACCATGCCGATGACCAGAGCTCTACGAGTGCTCTTCTTGCGGAGGAAGTCCGACAGCTCGACGCGGGGTCCTCCGTTGGTGACGGAAGCGATGAGGTTGAACTCGTGGTTCATGGCTCGAGCGTTGTCGCCGCAGAAGTAGAGGAGGGACCTCTTGGCTTCGTCTTCACGACGGTTCATGTAGAGGTAGTTGGGGGTCTCCGGGAGGTAGGCGAAGAGGGCGAGGTAGACGACCGGGAGGAGGAGGCAGAAGAGGTTGAAGCGGGCGTAGGTGAGGACAGAGCCGAAGAAGTAGGCGAGGAGGTAGCCGAAGTTGATGAAGAGGATGAGGCTGCTGCCGAGGGGTCCGCGGAGCTGGGCGCAGGCGATCTCGCCGACGTAGAGGGGCGTGTTGACGAGGACGCCGGTGCCGCCGAAGCCGGCGATGAAGCGGGCGGCCAGGAGGAGGTAGTAGTGGTCGCAGAAGAGGAGCAGGGTCCAGCTGAGGAGGAATGGGGCGGCGATGAGGTAGCCGGCGCCCTTGCGGCCGAGCAGGTCGGCGGCGCGCGCCCAGACGAGGACCCCGGCCACGCCGCCCATGAACGTGATGGCGCCCAGCCAGGAGATCTCGTCGTCGCTCAGGCGCCGGCCCACCGGCGGGGTCTCCGATTGGAGCTGCGGCTGCACCGGGGCCGCCCAGCCGTTCACCGTCCCCAGGCATATCGTGATTATGTTCGCTGCCAACAGAAATCATCACAGGCGTCAAGCATCATCCGCGCTCATAGGGTTGAAACACCGTTCATAAACAGGGAATTTGCACGCAATTTTAAAGCACTTCATCTGAGGTGCTTGGAGGACGAGGCGCATAAGCGCAGTTTTTACTATTTCGAGAAAAACGAGTTTGAAGTTTCGAAATTACATGGATCCTAACGGCGGACAGAAAGTTCAAACTGACTTTTTGATGCTTAAAAATTGGAATTTGGGAGTGAATTATATGCACTACGACTAGTTTTCCTTGAAATCATTAATATCTCAATCAGGGCCGGATTTAGGGGGCGGGCCACATGGGCCGCGGCCCATGGCGGCAAATGTGGGGGGGGGGGGGCAAATTTGGAATTTTTTCAGATGTAGGTATAAAAAAATAATCGGATTCAGAAAAAAAATAACGAACTAGAAAAGGCCGTAAAGTCTCTCATTTTCTGAGAGTAAAGGTATGGTAATTTCTCATTTTGTCGTTTTTCGATGATACAAGAAACAGCACCTTTAATTGGTCGAGTTTAGAGAGAAACAAAAAACGCAATTTGGCCTGAAACGGAGCGCCGCAGAGAGCATTGATGACGAGGACTTGAGATGGAAAGGAGAAGCCCTCGACGCGGCGGTCGGAACGTAACACATATTAGCGCCTACAAAACTGCATGAATACTTCACGCATTGCATCAAACACAGTGCGGTCCGCAGCGGTCGGCGTGAGACGCATCGCGCCTACAAGACTGTAGGAATACTTCACGCATTGCGGAAAACATAGTAAGGTCAGCGCGCGGCGCGGCGGCGGAGGTTAAGATTATTAAACCACATTTATGTTTGTTCCTTCATAATTTTTTCGTCCATTTATTATAAATGGAAGGCGTTGTCCACACAGCGATAGGTTTACGAGACTTAACTTTCGCGCAAAGTTCCGTGAACTTTTGCTAGTAGTGTTGACAGGGCTTTCGCAAAAAATGCGTCCATCACGATTTAACGCGTCTTATGCACCCCTCCCCTCTCCCTCCAGCATGTTCACTTGATGGTTTTTATTGATGTTCCAAAACGAATGAGAAGGGGGCGGCAAGTAGGTAAATCCGGCCCTGATCTCAATTGTTTTCAAAAACTGCGCTTATGCGCCTTGTCCTCCAAGCCCCTCAATGGGGTTTGCTCAGTTTGCTGGAAGCTCGGATCCGGTTGAATATTTTGGAACTAAACAACTTAATTTCCGGTTAAAAAACACGGACTCAGAGTGTTCGTTTATTTCCATCCGAAGGTACCTACAGCATTTGAGAAAACAACAGCGCTGGAACGAATAAAAAACCGGGAACGTTTCAGTACAGCGCCTCTTTTAAGCCTTACTTAAACCTAGAGTTTCGTAAAACCTTTGGAGCAGCGTTTTAGGGTAAGATATCTAGCTCATTTTTCTTAGAACATATTTGGGTTTTGCCACTTCTCCTCCTGACTCCCCTCCCCAAAATTTTATAAGAAATTCTAAAAGCATTTATACGATTCTGGAAAAATAAAGATCCCCTCTGAAAAATTTGCCGGCAAGCTATTCAGAAAATTTCAGGAGATCTCACTTACACCATTGACCTTTTTCTGAGATTGCCGAGATACAAACGACTCTTTTATTTTCTCATTGCGAAAATTCGAACTTCTTTTTGAAAAATTCATCGTTTCCCAAACGAAGGAGCGTAAATCTCATTCCAAGGTACTAAAAAAATCTGAATTTTTTTACGAGAATATGACTGCACGATTTTTGTCGATAATTTTACAAAAAAAAAGTTGCATGATTTCTCTTCAAAATCTTACGTTAAAAACTATTCGTACAAAGTTTGGAAATCAAATTCTGAACAAGATATTAACATGTATTTTTAACATAGATCGAAAGGAAGTTAAATTGTGCAAATGACGTCATTTTCATTTTTGGACTTCTATGAAATTAATTTGAACATTTAAATCTTGCCAAGGAGTTGATTTCCAGAATTCTCATTGTAGGGTTCGTTTTCCTACTGAAATTTTGAAGAGAAAAGAGGTTGCGTAGAGCTTTGATTCATACCATGTCAAGATGCCCATTTACTAATGATAAATTTTGCAACGTTGAAATATAGTTACGTTCTTCCATTTGGAAAACGACGAATTCGGTTGATGTGAGTGCCCCTGTGATGAGGACTTTCTCAAGTTTCACTCCTGTCCCGATAAAATCTTCTCACTCCAATATTCATCCCTTCACTGAGAAAAAACTTCAGTTGCAGGAACTAGCTTCAGTTGCAGGAACTGAACTTCAGTTCAGAGTTTTCACGGTTCCGCGGGCAACCGAAGTTTTCGGTCATAGGAACCAACTCAAAGTTAGGTAAGTGGCTGGACCAAAAACTTCGGTGTTCCTATCTTCCTAAATTCGGTTGGCGGATCTAGAGTTCGGTTCCTGCGACTGACAACTTCGGTTACCCACACAGCAGAACTTCGGTGTTTTTAATTTCGATTAGCAGCAGGACCGCAGTTCAATTTCTGTGACCGGTACTTTCGGTGCCCAATACAGTATTGGGCAGTATTGGCAGTATTGGCAATACTGCCGTGCTACGGAAAAACGCCGCATGAACCTTAAGGCGTTGCCAAATTTTCTTTGATAAAACACAGATTCCCTCGTAAACCTATGAATATTTTCCCTTTAATTTTTCAGAAAATTTTCTTAGCATTTTCACCTAAATTTCTTAAAAATTTCAAGGAAAAATATTCATAACTTTCCTCAAAAATAAACATTTTCTCGAGAGAAATTTGGCAACTCTCGCATGTTCATACGGCGTTCTTCCTTAGTACGGCAAAATACGAACGGAACTGTTTCCTCCCTCGATTGGTCACGGACGACACATTAACTCACCGATAAACGTGGCCAAACACTGGCGAAACTTCCCGAGCCGATTGACAGGACACCGAACGGAATCATCGTACTCCTTGCTAAGTTCGATCTCAATCTCGTCTTTCACCATGGCGGAAACTCCACGGAAGAAACAACACTCTTCCAGGGAAAACAACACTCTTTCAGGGAAAACAACACTCTTCCAGGGAAAACTCGGAAAACCCAGGAGGTTCTACGCGCGGCACTCGCACTCAGGATGGCGCACCCATCAATCACCTGGCCCGAACATGACAACGGCCGCGATTCAAAACGGACGACTTTCCAGATGCAATTATTTTGATCGAAACGAAAATAAAATGCGTCGACGGCGAGCCTTGATGCGTCTATGACGAGCTAATGATACCTTGGCTGCACCAAGCACTGCCTTATCGAGATGGAGTGGACGCGCACTGGATGTCCCTTCGGAGCAAGGCCGCCGCCTGCCGTGATAGCGAAGAGAGCAGTAAGTCCATTTCTGTATGAGCCTTGGTTAGCACATACTCCTATGTGTCCCGAGGTTCATCCCAGCATGCACTTACTGCTCTTTTCGCTATCACGGCTGCGCTCCCGACCCTGAGCCTCGGTGAGCGTGTGTTCTAAGGCGATCCGGGGCTCACGAAGGGATCGGGTTGGGAGCGTGGATTCACTTGACCGCTCGCCAAAGCTCCAGACCCGATGATGAGCTACTGATCGATTATTGGCAGAGCCACTGAATCATGGGATTAATCCCAGCTTCCTTCCGGCTCTGGCTTGCCTTTGACGCTCGTTTTTTTCGAAACGGGCGCTTCGCACGCACGATAATGAGTAATCAGTGGCGTTTTCTATGTATTTACATGGAAATGAATGACGGGTAGAGGTCGAGGACATTGAAGTTCAGGTGAAATTGATTCTCTCCGACCGTTCAGGTCTAGGACACAGAAGTTCTTGTCCTACAGTTGATTTCACTGTGTGGGTGAAGTGTCGTAGCCGGGGGAAAGGAGGGGGTCCAGGGGGTGCGTCCCCTTCCCTCCACCCTTCGTGACCGGAAATTTTTCCCGGATAACCCAAGTAGCATTTTTCAACGGAAAAATCGCGATTGCTTGCGGTTTAGTCGGCGATAAAATAGCTAAGATCATCTACATCTGAGCGATTATCCTCGATCTTCGAAAATCGCGATTTTATCGCCCGGCAATTTATCGCGATACTTTCGCAATAAAAATCGCGATATCCGGCGATTTAATCTCGATTTTATCGACAAAAATTGATCGCAATTTTTCATTCGATAATATTGCGATAAATTTTCACTGATATAATCGCGATAATCAACCGATGAAATCGCTATTTATCGCGATCACTGCTACTGGGGAAGCGTCATTTTTCGTGATTTTCAGAAATGTTTTACTTTTGGACCCGGAAATTTCTGGCTATATGCCACTGGTTGTGTGTGGGACTGGGACCCAAAGGCGGGACTAAGAACTTTTCGTGGGGGGAGGCCCGGAGAGGGAGGGGAGCCCCATCAATTGAGGGGGGTCTGGAGGCACAGAGGGCTGCAGGACTCCTCTTTATCTTGAAAGGGAGATTTGAGAAATTTTCCTAGCTTCAGAGGGGCCCAAAGACCCTCCCTTGAAAACAAGTGAAAAATAAATCGTCTCAGGGGCGCTTTGGAGCAGTTCTCGCCGAAAATTTGATCTAATTATTCCTGTTCCTAAGATAAAAGATCTGTCACGCACAGCACGCTTTTACTCAGCGAAATCCCGCACATTTCTAAGAGGGGCCGAGGAAATTTCTGGAGGAGTGACTCTCCCCCCGGTCCACTCATGCTGGAACCTACACTACCAAGATGAGGAAAATCTCCATATAGACACTCCGACGTCGCAAAGTTTTGTCTGCTACATACTTATTTTAAAGAAAATATTATAAAGGAGGAGGAACTGTTTTTTTTTGGACATTTTCACATACTTTGCATTAAATTATGAATAAAATACTGTAGAAAAATCAGATAAAAATAGATGCATTTAATCTGGGGAAAATTGTATTTTTATCGGCAGATATGGTAACTTCTGAATACTCAAACTGCGTTTTACCCTGGCCCCAAGGCTAATAGGCATGTACTTAGAAGTCTCTATTCGCCCTTTGATGTATTGTGTTAGCATTTAAGTATTGTATAGCCTTCTATAGAATTGATGGCTTGGATTCGAGGGAACTCTGGTTGAAGGACAGTTGAAGAGACCATTTTTGAGAGAATAAAATTTTCAGAATATTTTGCTTCGGTTCTTAGGGCAGTGCTCATGCAATTGTAGGTAAAGGATATTGGAGCCAAGCAATAAATTGGATCGGAGGGAATTCTGGTCCTCCAAAATTCTGGCTGTGATTGCCGACGCAATTAATTTCAATTTTTTTTTTCTTATAGCCAATTTTTTCTTCAATCCCTTGACTAAAATACATCCTTTCAGTTAGCTTGTCATTGCAGTCATAATATGTTTGCCCACAACAGCTTTAGGAGAACTCTTACAATTGGTGGGTCTGCAAACATGACTGACGGAAACTCTCCCTCTTGATCATATTGCTTGGTGGGGCAGTCAACGTGTTAATGGAGGCAAAAGTTGACTGACATGAATAAATAGTCAGCCTCCATCAATCTACTTTGAAATAAATAATCTGAAATGCAAAAAAAAGCACAAGTGGAAACTAAATGGAAACAAAGAATGAAAGTACTCACATTGCTGTTCAGTTGCAATCATCAACTAAGGTGTGAAATTTTCAGGATCTCTCTCTGAAGGCCTGAAATTAAAGAGGAACATAAAGATAGGTCAAAATCTATTAGATTACAGCTCATTTCTGGCACTAAAATTACTGCACATACCAGATTTGGTACACGTACAAGAGAATGAATAGAGGACAAAAACATAACTTGGTTTGAATGTAGGATTGTGGCATGGAGAAAGCTGCACCTGCAATCTAGGCTGTGTTTTTTTTCATACATTTTTGGTGCCTTAATAAAATTCAATCTACTACTGATGAAAGCAACAGCACCAATTTAATACCGAATGAACCTTTCAACACGACATAAATTAAATGCTTTGTGTTTCTTCTTCAAAATTTCACGAGGAAAACAAATCATGTGTCAGGAAGTACTAGACCTAAACAAGATATGAGTGTTTACAAACAACATTGATTTAATAGAAAAATACGAGAGACATCAGTTGTAAATAGTCTAATTTCCATTTGATCAGTTTCAAAAATACCTGTTGATTTACCATTCAGGAAATGATCTCCGAACTTTCTGTTATACGAACAGCTTATTTCATAAGATTTTAAAAGGAAAAATGCAATGTTTATTTTTAGTTCTGGTCTAGTTTATTGGCCTATTGCATAAAATTGAACTCAAATGGCCATATTATTTCCAAAAATTTCTTGGAGGGAATTTTTTTTCTCTGGAAATGCATCTGCATCTCAATTTGCAGGAAGCAGAGGCAGCCTTTATTCAGCAAAGGGCTTGGTGGTGAATTCAGTAAACTTGCCCAGTTTAATATTTTCTTTATGAGCTAGAGCTATTATTGATTGCGAAAAGCATTTGGATCAATTAGGATCTCTAATTTTTTTTAAGGAGTGGCAAAAGACAATTACCTAGTTGAAAAACAATTGATGAAATGACTACTAGGCTCTCTCTCTCTCTTTAAACGGGATCAACTCTTCCGTGGAACAATACAGAGGCATCAATTGAATGTAACTAAAAATTTGCTTTATATGTTTATTACTTAAAAAAGAAGCAGCAGTGCTTACCATTTGAAAATGTCCAACATTTAGAGCAATTCAATTTTTTTCTAGCATCCACTTTTTTTTCAAATTCCAATGTGCTTCCTCCAACACCAAAATAGAATGATTTTGCTCCTAAAAGTCTGAGTTCATCAATTTATAAGGAAGATACAAGATAAAAAACCTGATGATAGATATCTTTAATTCAAACCATTTTCACAAAATGTAGAAATGATTTGAAAATTGTTCTCCAAACAAGAAAAAATTAATTCACCATGAATAAGTCAACATATTCAATTTAACCCATCCTTTCACTTTTCAAGCAATAAGGACGTCTGAGAATTGATTGAATCGGAATTGATACGGATAGAGATCTGGCACCAGAACAGGTACTGCAAAATAATTGAACAGATTAGTTAAAACTACTAGGTCTGTTAGATAAGTAACCGGATTTTAGGGATTCCTGGCTTACTATGTGTATCAGTACACTTTTCTTTAGACTTCAAGTTGATGTTCTATGAGTGCTGCGTTGTAAAGTAGGTAAAACTTTCTGAAAATATTAAGAAAAAAGCATTGAGGTGCACAGATGGCCAGGAACCAATAAAATCTGGTTCCTAATCTGACAATCTTGTGTGACCTGATTTGAAATCATTGATTTTTTTTCATACCTATATCAAGTACTTAGTAGAGAAAAATTAGTTCGAGAAATTGAAAATGTTTTTAATAAAAATAAAGAAAAAAGAAAACAAAAAGAGAGAAAAGAGAGTAAAGAGTGTTGATTGAAGAAAATAAAAATAAGAAAAATAATAAAATTTGGACAAAGTAAAGGATACCCATAACCATTTGGCTTCAGCTTTTCTTCAAAGACAGCACATAGTTTATCATAATTCTTGGGATTGTAGATGGTTTCTGAACTTAATATGCAATCATACTTTGTTGACGTGTTTTCTTCACAAAAAAAACTCCAGTCACCCGCAAAGAACCTACAGTTATTAGTATTTCCAAAGCTATGGGATACGCTGGGAATAGTAGCATATTTCAGAACATCAACATTCTGAAAAAGAAAGGAAGGGAAAATTGATTAAATGCATGAGATCATCACTTAAATAACAAACAAAAAAGCCCATACAAGAAAAGTACCACAACCCTCATTTTCCTCGATATGGGTCTAGAATATTTTCAAACTAATAAACCATGATTTACGGCACCAACATGAAGGTATTATTACTTGCAGCGAAGATGTTTGGCAAATCTTTGTGTTGTTTGTGTTGTTTTCAAATCCGAAGGAAGATAGAACAGGACTTTTGGCGCAGATTCGTGGGGATTTTGCAAAGAGAGCAAGTTCATAATGAATGAGTGCTTGAAATGTTAAGAGTTCAGAATGATGCATGATATCAAAAATAAGCAATATGCTTGATAAAGATAACTGCAAAGAATGACTGGTAGTCCGTTGCTCAGATAACAATCAAGATTTTGAAACGATGTGAAAATGGGGATAATTTCATGAATTCTTCAACTTTAGCCATTGATTTGCTCTCTCCATCTTGACACTTTTATTGATAAAAAAACAATACATTTATCATGCTGATTGAAAATAATTGTCAAAATAAAATGAAATAAAATGAACTATTTTTATTTATATTTTGCGTCTGTTAGGAATAGAAATACTTACATAGTCTTGAAAATGTACAGTGGCCCCATTTTGAAGAGCGTACATGCCTAAAATTCCAACACCACAACCTAAATCTAGGATGGTTTTGTTGCGAAGATCAATATTATTATCAATCAAGTAATGGAGAAGATCATAGGTGCATTCCCAGATTTTAAATCCTCCTGAAAACAACAGATGCTCGTTGTTATCAAACATTGGCACTGGACCTAAGATTCTAAGAATTTACATCATATTTCGCCAAAATAATATCAAATAAAGAGTCAAGGCATGCAAAAAGGAAAATCAGGTCTTGATATCTGTTTTTGATAATGACTTTTGCATGGCTTAGGTTTTTGAACTTTTACCTTTTTCTGAAGTCAAAAACTTTAAATAATTTTAAATTCGGGATGTGATGAAGTAGGAAGTCCTAAAACCTATGACCCATATGCTATAAATTATCAACAACTTATAACAGGGTTCATGAGTCTCGGAACTTCCACCCTTTCAGTTCGTCTTGATTCATTTAAGTGGTATAGTTTCAGACAAAATTGGGTGGGTACAGGTGAATGGAGGGCAAGTAAAACACATTCTCACATCATTATTCACATCAGCGATATAAATGTGAAGATATTTTCCCCCTCTTTTAATCCATTAAGGGTGTTAAGATCAGAGCAAACAAATGATAATTTATAAATTTCATAGTTCATGTATTCTCACCTTCATATTTGGCTGTTAACAAATCTGAATGGGATGTTTGTAAACTTTGGAAGATGGAGCAACTTTTAAGCTCTTCTGGTTGTGACTTTTCATAACTTTTTGACGCATCCACAATTTGAAATTGAAGATCTCTGCATGTGAATTTGGTTATACAGTCCTGTGATCCCGATACTGTTTCTCCAGTAGAAACTTCCTTGAATGGATCCCATATTAGTTCATTTGACTCTGTAAAAAATGGATACAAATTAGATATCCTGACATCAGGAATCATGATCGATTTGTCTTTACACAAGCAAAGGAAAAACAGTTGTATACCAGAGGTAAAATCACAAAACTGCGTACCTCAATGACAGCATTTGAAAATTTCCCATCCAATTTCATTTTTTTTTTTTCAAAGGAACACATTACTTGATATTTTCTTGCAAAGTTGTTTGGGAATATGCTCGTAGGTGAGCACGAAGAAAATTACATACATACATAAAATTTTTTTCAGTATTAATGATTGGTGCAGCTTGAAAAAACTAAGTAAAGTGAGACAGAGAATCTTTACGTTGCAAAGTGTCATTTCATAATTTCTTTGTATGCTATTGGGTCAAAATGATAGAATGAGCTTGGCTAAAGCTATGGAAACCAGGAAAATCGTTTTCCAATTTAGCTGTTTGACAACTTTCGGACACCTTCATAAGAATGAACATTTGGCCAGTTCTGAATGTAAACTCAATCGGCTTGAGTAGCTGTAACACCCACAGTGCAACTAGAGGTGTCGTCAGCTAAGTTGACGGTTGTTTACTTTCGGTTTGCAGGCGTTTTCGTGTCACTACTATCTACATGAAAACATCTGGCTCTCTCGGAAGCAAGAACACAAGCTTAGATAAGTTCTTTAATACTTTCAAACCTCGTAACACTTTAATTTTTAGCCACATAGAAATCACAACCACAAAAAAGTCGCAAATCATAACTGATAAGAAGTTTTTTTACGATACGATCATGAGACTGATGTTTCCAATATGAATAGTGAGAACGCCCCTTTGTTCAGAGGCCCAAATTTGTCGTTGGCACTTGCAAACCGAAAGTAGACAACCGTCAACTTACCTGACGACACCTCTACACAATACACTTGAGTGTGCAAGCGTATAAACTGGACGGTTGGCGGTTGGCTGCCATTTTTGCCGAGAGTGTCAATGCAATGGTGCATTGGATATCAACTTAGAAACTCCATACATCTCAATGCGAGGGCAAACCACACATATCATTGAATTAATCATCCTACTACAGCTCTTTTGTCACAAAGATCTGAGATACTCGGCTTCACATTTGGCAATGAGTCCACTAACTCGAGAATTTTGCTCATTACTTAATTCGGGATATAAAGAGGAGGCATCCAAATTTCGACTTAGAGCCCTCAAGTCTTGAACGATTAATTATGTGTACAGAAAACTCCTGAGAGGGAGAAAAACATTTGTTTAAGAGTGTGGCAGTTATGGAAATGCACTTGACGGAGTTATTTAATTATTGATTTAGTCTCACCAGCAATCTCCGCAACACTGGCTTCACACTCCTCTGCGTCAAAATTGAATTTGAACATGTTACAAAGTAAAACAAGAGGCAGATATTCCGGTGGCACAATGTAATCTCAATTGCACTCCTCGCGACTCATAAAGTTGTAACAGTCGGAATCTATCTAAAGATCAGCATTTGGACTTTGATTAATGCAGATGAAAAAAGCGTATTAAGCGAGAAAAAAGAAAGGAAAATTTATTTGCACGCTAAATACGTAAAATATTCGAAAAATACTTCGAAATTCAAACTTCAAAGACCGAAACTGAAACGAATAAAAATAAACTCACATGGGTTTGTTTACATTTGTAAAAGTGAGGTTAATTCTACAAGGGCTAGTGCCACTGTCCGCCCCTAGGTTGCGCTTTGAGCGTTTCGATAAGAGAAACCGCGGTAATTTTAATTTGACGCACGGCCTTCCGCTTCTCAGGCTCTGTTCTCTACTTCTCTTTGCCTTTTTTTTTTGTTCTTCAAGGAAAATAAGATGAAAGGTAAAAATGATAAATGTGATGGAGTCGGGCAAAATATGCCTTGGTGTGGAAATTTAAATTATTCAGTAAGTACAGCGGAGAACTGATTTGTGATCAAAAATATCAATCTTCCTATTATAATGCTCAAAAAGAGTCAAAGTTGGATATCATAGAGAGTTGAGTCAAAGCCAAATCATGTGGAATTCACCCATCTAAGCTGTAATATATAGATATTTTCTTTAATTATCTTTTCAACCTTAAAGCCGCATCAGAAATATTCTAGAGCAAAAGCAGGAAACAGGAGGAAAGTTTCTTTCCAGTAAATCAAGCTTTTGAGAATAATTTGAAAAGTTACCCATCCCCTTGCTTTATTGCAAGAAAAAACTTGCTTTGTAATTCATATTTAAAGATAGTAAGTATGTTGGGCAATTATTACCTGAGGAAAGCTAACAAATTGTACCCACAAATTTTCCCAGTGACTTACAATTTAAATTTGGTGCTGAGAGACTTAGAGTGTGATGAATAAACGAAGTACCTTTTGGCAGATGTTTGAGAATAAATTTGCTCATCATTGTAAAATATGAGTAAGTATTGACATGCAGCAAAATTACCAACCCATGTATATTTGTTCTCAATATCGCAAATCTCCAGTCATTTTACTTCTAAACAGTAAACCAGGGCATAGTTTTTGCACAAAATTTCACTTGATTTCTCCTCTTCCTTTGAACAATATTCTATTTTCAAATTAGTTCACGCAATAGAATCAAGCAGCGATATGTATCCTCTAGAAAAAATAAAATATGAGCAAAAATGCTCAAAAACTGTGATCAAAATCTGTGGTTCGGTAGTTTCATCATTTATGCATGATTAGATATGAATAAAATAATCATACTAAGGTTTTGATGTAGATAGCTCAAGGATAGGTACAGTTTTTTCAATTAGGTAATTTATTGTGTCACATAATGTTGAAAAAGAGGGAAGAGGCAGGAGTTTCGTGTCATTGGACAGCCTAATAGCCACAGGTTACCCAGTCATCTTGGCGATAGACACAAAATTCTTTCATCCCTGAAGGACAATGAATATAAAATTTTGCGGGCTACACAAATAGGATTGAACCCTTATCAAAATCTGGTGGGATATGAAAACTGAATAAATTTTACGGATTCATTTCCTATCAGTCTTTATTCTAGGCCAGTAACAAATTTTACACACAAACGAACATACAAGTTGCATTATCAAGTTTTTAAAGTTGCTGTTTAAAACACATCCTTGAGTTCTTTATTTCATAACTGCTTTCTAGTTTGAACAGTTTGTCTAGTTTGAACTAGAGGAACAGAGCTAGGTGATATGCACAAATACTGCTGACACGTTTAATGAGAAAAATGAATTGGATGTAATGCCTAGAGACTTATTCAAAATTGTTAGTTGATATTTATCTCTTCAGACATCTTTACCTAATGTTCCTTTTCATGCAATAATATTTTCTATGTTTCTATCAATGTATAAACAATGTGAGCAGCGTGCATGGGCAAAATGTGCTGCTGTGAATAAATACAAAAATAAATCAAGAAAATATCACTATGTTTTCAGGATTCAAATACATTGTACAAATTGAACATCTTGAGTTTTCTGGGAGTAACGGCAAATTATGTTAAAGATAATTCTTTGTCAAATAATAGCAAAGACACCTCTTCAATGATTAAAATGTTTATAAATTAGACTAACACCCGGCTTATACCACAATCAACTTGAAAATGATTAGCCTAGAATATCTCCTTTTTACACTTCAGCATTCTGCAAAAATACAGGATAGGTACAGATACTCAGCATAAACAAAGATGAAGGCTTTGACTTTTGCCACTTGAACTTGAGAATCGCCTCTTTTATGGTCTCTACGGGCCAAATCGTTATAACATTGAGGATAGGCTTAGAGGATGAAAAATGATATAACTGCAACATTTTTTGAGTGCTTACCGGTTGATAAGTTACGGCGTGTTAGTTCTTGACGCTTTGTAAAACTGTAAAATCTTTTCTTAAAAACATTATGAAGTTTTAAGCAGTTTGTGCAAAATTTACTTTGAGCATGGTGAAATATACTCTCAGAAAGGATATCACCTAAATAAGCACCTTTTTTTCTACTTCATAAAAAAACTCTAGCTTCTATTTTTTGATATTGTGACTTTAAAATCAAAGATTTCTTAAAAAATCTAGGTCTATGAGATGAAATAAAATTGTAATAAAAAGTCTATATAATTAGACAGAAGTCGGACCAGCACTTATCTTCCGATAAAAATTAGACCTTCAACTGGGAACTAGCTAAACTTCTTTCATCATAATGAATCTTGCATCATTGGCTGGAATGGTGACAAAAACATAAATTGAACTAAATTCGAGGATATACTTAATGGAAAAAAAGTTAACATATTAAGCTGCAGTACATATTACTAGGTACTTTGTTCCTGTTTTTTGATGCTCTGATCTGTTTGAGCATTCTATCAAAAACTGTTCTGCGATTACATTAGTCAACAAAACAGCTTATTTTCTTAGACTCAAAAGGCTCACGTCAAAAGCAAAATAGCTTGCTGAAAATTGACACCCTTAAAAAAAGGAAAGATACACAACAAAACGTTGTAAACACTTGAGTATTGAGTTTGTCCCACAATTTCAAAACTTAGATTTCTTGCCTAACCTAAATTAAAAAGTTTAAAAGTTCATGAATGATTGCGAAGTAATATAATAAAACATTAAAAACATTGTTTAAGAAGAGTTTCAAAAACATTTGTCCAAGGTGCTGATTTATCTTTTCTCAATTTCCTATCTATTTCTAAATAGTGTCACTTATAAAAATAGTTGGAAAAAATAGAAAATAGATGACGAACAAAAACTGGTCCAATTAAACCAAGTTTAGCCCTACATCTGCATGGATTTTCTTAATTGGCATCACTTTAGATGCATTATACACAGTTGGAATAATGATGAGGGGTTTCAAATATTCTCCTTAAAACCCTATTTGACAATCTAAAAATTGCTTAGCACCGCATGTAACCTTGATACACATTTTGTATTAGAACGGTTGTTGGTGTCTATGAACTGACTATATGTTCTCAGATTTCACTTCATTCTTTCCAACAAGGAGAGTGATTTCATTCATCATCCTAAAATAAATTCTAAAAGTATAACTTGGTTAAAAAATAATATCACTTATTCCACGATAACATCTTTAAGTTGGCTATATCACAATATTTTCTAAACTCTCTCAAAATCTGCACGCTTACTTGTTTTGTGATATTGTGATTTAAAAGTAATGGATCTTGAATGCAACATATGGTATCATCACATTTGTAGATGTTAGCATTCTGGTGAACATAACTGACATAGTCTTGGAGTTCAGGGGGCATTTTACTTTCAATACAGTTAACAATGATATTTTTTGGCAATGTTCTGCCAAGTCTGGGACAAATTGCCAATTCATTGTATTCAAAACGGGCATAGTACCCAAAAAAACCTTGCAGCAGACTCTCTTCACTCTCAAAAATTTCTATAGCACCAACATCAGTTGTTTTATACTTCCATCCTGAAACAATAAAAAAATACCACTGTCACAAAAAGAGCTTTAGTTGGTCAGTTGCACTTATTGATATAAATCATATTTTCAAACCTTAATAGTCCGAGAGCCAGACGACTTTGAGTGACAAACTCGGGATACATGTTTTGACCCCCTAAATCGATAGCCTTGCATGCACTGAAACGGAAAATTTTTGTCTGCCGCCCTCTAGCCTGTGCCATCACCCTCATCTAGGCCCTCAAAGTGGTCCAAAAAACACCATCTGGTGACAAACTCCTGACGCT